ACTGAGACGCTCTTCGAAGGCGGCGCACTGAGGAAGACCCCAGAGACGGCCCAGCGCCCAGCCACCAGGGGTGCCTGCTAGAAACAGGCTCCCAGGCTCCGCCCAAGCCCGCCTTTGGGCAGGCTGCCCAGCGGGTTACGTGTGCTTCCAGGTGTGAGAAGCGCAGACCCTGGTCACACTGTGGGTCAGCGGTCGGGCCCCATGTCCGAGGCACAGGGGCGAGGGGAGGACTCGCCTGCATCTCCCTGGTGACGGGGACTCCGGATGCGAGAACACTCAGGGGAGGCACTGCAGGGCTGTCCAGCAGAAAGGGAGCTGGACACTGTGTCCCTAAAGGCGAGTGACAGGGACACAGACCTGCCTATGAGGGAGGAGTTCCAACAGTCAGAGCCACAGGTGGAGGGAGCCAGCTCTGGGGGGTCAGCCCTGGCACCAGAGCCCTGAGCCTCAGGCCTCCTGCAGGCAGGGCCTCTGTGAGGGAGTGGGCGTTTCTGCCAATCACAAGGCAGAGGTGGGAGGGCATTGACACTCCAGAGAGACTGAAGGCACGCGGGCATGCCGTCCTGACTGGAGTTGCAGGGGTACATCAGAAATGCCCGGCACCCGAGAGCTCAGAATGTGGAGGGGAAGTGAGGAGCCTCTCCCGCTGACAGTGACAGATCCAGGGCCGTGCAGGGAAGCAGCGGCAGCCTCTGCAGCCTGCAGGGGGGAAGCAGGAGAGGACGGGACTCCAGGGTCAGGCCTGAGCCAGCCCTGCGGGAGCCCACGGGGAACAGGGGTCAGGAGGCCCAAGCCTTCTCCTGGACGGCACCAAGGCGGGTGTGCTGGGGGCAAGGGCAGGCAGAGGCCCTGCAGAGCCTGAGAAGCATCTGAAGGTCGCAGAGAGCCCAGGAAGGATTCGAAGCAGAGGAGCAGACGCGCCCTCGGGGCGTGAGAAGAGGCAGACCCCGTGGAGGCAGCGTGGAGAGTGGATCAGAGCGTGGAGGGGCTGCCAGGCGGGCGGGGGCAGACTTGAGGCAGAGACCTGCCCAGGGGTTTCAGAAATGGCCAAGACCCAAGATGACGGAGGGGGAAGGGCACCCGCAGGAGGACGTGGGGCTGGGCCAGCACGCCCTCCAGAAGGACTTCCCAACTCCAGCCCAGAGGATGGGTGGAGAGGGGGCCTGCCCCAGGATGGAATGCCTGATGGGGGTCGGGGGGCAGATGTGGGATGAAGTCAAGACCAGCTCAACACCCAGTTGGCTGGTTTTGAGGCCCCCCCGATGAGCCTCCCCAGCAGAGAGGTCCAGGGGAGGCTGGAAATGTGGTTCCAGAACTCTGCAAAGTCAAGGCGT